AAAAAAAAAAAAAAAAAGTTTAAAAAAAACCTTGCAAACTAAAATGCAGTAGAATAAATTCAGAAAAGGAAAATCAAGGGAAGAGATCAAAATAAAATCAACGTCCAGTCTATGAGTGGTAGAAAGTACTTGAAATATATTGCTAAGAGTTAAGATTAATAAAAGATACTGTGCTTCTGGTGTTTGAGCACAGCCATTTTCTGGAAAAACATGATTTCTAGTTGCTTTAGGAAGCAAAATTAGAACAATGGAAGGTATTGAAAGACAGATTTTCAACTCAGTTTATGTCAAAAACTTTTTAATGATTTGATTTAGTAGTGTAATGGGCTACCTTATAAGTGAGTTCCTTGTGTGAGTGTCTGAGCATGTGCTGGATGACTTACTAGAATAATGGAGAAGAAAATTGTACATTGAGTGGGAGGTTAATCTCTAAGGTCCCCTTTCATTCTTTGATTTCATTAATCAAGGCATGGAAAACATTGTGCTCACCGTCTCTGAGATATTCAACCCTTTTTGCTCATGTTTTTTAGCTAGCCTCTAAGCTTGGAAAGCAGTGGACGCCATTAATAATTCTGGCCAACTCTCGTAGTGGGACTAATATGGGAGAAGGACTGTTGGGAGAATTTAGGATCTTGTTGAATCCAGTCCAGGTAACTGAAGAGAAAACCTTCCTTTCTTTATTAATCTTTTTATTTTTAGCTTTTCATTTTCCCTAAAATGCCGTGGTTATTTAATGCTTCAAATCACATCACCTGATTATAAGAATGATAATTACAAAGCCGGGCTCGGTGGCTCAGCCTGTAATCCCGTGCCTTTGGGATGCTGAGGTGAGTGGATTGCCTGAGCCCGTGGGTTCGAGACCCGCCTGGGCAGGCAAGACCTCATCTCTACAATAAATCAAAAAATTAGCCGGGTGTGGGATCGCGCGCCTGTAATTCTGGCTACTCAGAAGGCTGAGGCGGAAGGATCACCAGAGCCCAGCAGGTTGGGGCTGCAGTGGCCGGGAGCGGCCACTGCACTCCAGTCTGGGTGACAGAGTGAGACTCCAACTCAAAAAAAAAAGAATGATAATTACAAAACAATTAAGCCATTCAAATATGTGGAAAATCAAGAACACTCATGGTGGCAATATAAAATGTTACAGCCACTTTAGAAAACCACTTGACAGTTTCTTTAAAAGTTAGGCATAAATTTATCATATCTCCTAGCAGTCACACTGCTAGGAATCTACCCAAGGAAATAAAAACATATGTCTCACAAAGATTTTCAAGCTAATGTTCATAGCAGCATTCTTCATAATAGCTAAAAAAAAATGAAAACAGAGCCGGGCTTGGTGGCTCAGCCTGTAATCCCGCGCCTTTGGGAGGCTGAGGTGAGTGGATTGCCTGAGCCCGCGGGTTTGAGACCCGCCTGGGCAGCAAGACCTCATCTCTACAATAAATCAAAAAATCAGCTGGGCGTGGTAGCACATGCCTGTAATTCCAGCTACTCGGAAGGCTGAGGCGGAAGGATCGCCGGAGCCCAGCAGGTCGAGGCTGCGGTGGCCGGAAGCGGCCACTGCACTCCAGTCTGGGCGACAGAGTGAGACTCCAACTCAAAAAAAAAAAAAAAATGAAAACAGCCTAACTGTCCATCGGTTGGTGAGTAGATAAACAAAATATGGTATAGTAATACAATGGAATACCATTCAGTGATAAAAGGGATGAACTACTGATTCATACACATTACAGTGACTGAACCTCAAGAACTTGATGCTGGCTGGGCATCATGGCTCACACCTATAACCTCACCGCATTGGGAGGCTGAGACTGGAAGATCACTTGAGGCCAGGAGTTCAAGACCAGCCTGGGCAACATTTAGCGAGGCCCCCTTCTTTACAAATAAAAATTAAAATAAATAGTACAAACTATTTGCTAAGTAAAAGAAGCCAGGCACAAGAGATCACATATTGTATGATTTCATTTCTGTGACCTGTCCAGAAAAGGTAGATCTATAGAGACAGAGAGTAGATGAGATAGAGGGTAGAGGGGTTGCCTGAGACTGGGACTAGAAATGAGGAGTGGATACAAATGGGCAGTGAAGGATCTTACTGAAACAACAGAAATATTCTAAACTAGATTGTGGCGGAGGTTGCCCAGCTCAGTAACTTGCTAAAACTTATTGATTTGTTCCCTTTAAGAAGGTGAATTTCATGTATGTAAGTTATACCTCAGTTTTAAGTAATATTGAGTATACATGCTACACCTTTTTACTTTGAAAAACTAAACAGCCCATTGTGCAACAATAAAAAAAACGCAGTAACTTTTTTCTTCCAATTTGTATTTACATTCTCAACGTTATACAGCTTAAGACAATTATAAAAATAAAAAAGCAAACACCTGCAGTTTCCCCACACAGATGCTTCAGTTTTCATTTGTCCTTGTTCTTCCCACTATCTTTGTGCTTGCATATTAACAATGTTGTAACAGTAATCCAAATACAAATTTGCATTTTTTTTATCTTAATGGTATAATTCTCCCTACTGCAATATAGTCCTCATTACATATTTAATGTCTAAAATACTGAATGACTACACCATTATTTATTTACCCAGTCTTCTGCTGTTGGACGTTGACATTATCTCCAAAGTTATACTATTATAAGTAATACCATAGTGAATATCTTTATACATGTGACTTTTTTGTCTTTTGAAATATTTTCCTAGTATTATTGATAGACTTACGGGTATCAGAGTTTCATGCATTTTTGTCATTTTTCTATGTAGTGTGAAATTGTTTTCCAGAAATTTGTACTAACTTGCACTGGTGATGGTTTTATAAAAACTAGTATAAGCTATGAAAGACTAGTTAAAGGTGAACTTAGCACATTGTAGTTTCATGTGAACAGGAAGCAGGCAGTGTCCCATAATAGATAAACTATGAGTTTGAATTGGTATTCCGGCAATTAATTATCTGTTAAAGTCAAATGATTTAACCTTCCGCACCTCAGTTTCCTGGTCCATAGAATGGGGCTAACTCCTATTTTGTAGTCAGTGTGGGTATGAACTACAGTGAATCAAGTCTGACATGGTGCCTGGTATGTTCTACAGATACATATATGGTGATCAATATTCTTATTAACCATATCTCTACTCACATAGAGGGAAATTTTCTCAGATGAAAGACGGTGCTGGGTAAAAATGATTTTTTCTTTTTCTTCCTTTTCTAGGTTTTTGATGTAACTAAAACTCCCCCTATCAAAGCCCTACAACTTTGTACTCTTCTCCCATATTATTCAGCTCGAGTACTTGTGTGTGGAGGGGATGGGACTGTGGGCTGGGTCCTGGATGCAGTTGATGAAATGAAGATTAAGGTATCAGTCTTTACGAGCTACTGCAGAAGTATTTCTAAGATAAATGCACAATGTATTTGGTTTATGTTTTTTATTATGCAGTTGAATATTAGAAGACTTTGTCAATTTCAATAGCTGAGAATGAGAAATGATGAAGCAGTTAGTATAACCTTCGCCAAAACAACATACACTTGTTGTATTTGTATCGTTATTGCTTTAGATTTTACAAGATATTATAAATAGTCTGAGGAGAAAAATCTAAAATATATCTTTTATATCCTAGGGACAAGAAAAGTACATTCCACAAGTTGCAGTCTTGCCTCTGGGCACAGGCAATGATTTATCCAATACATTGGGTTGGGGCACAGGTTATGCTGGAGAAATCCCAGTCGCACAGGTCTTAAGAAATGTAATGGAAGCAGATGGAATTAAACTAGATCGGTAAGTTACATTGCCTCAGAAGGTAAATTTCCTGAGTTTTGACAATATTATCTGGTTTGTAAATGAAGATTTGTGTAGAAATAAGATGAAATATAAGTTAGATGTAAAAGAATGTATTAGTTGAAGTTACACATAGATGCTGGGGGTTTTTTGTTGTTGTTTTATCAGAGCCAAAATCATAAGTTATGCTGAGTACTTATCCCTAAATTTGTCTCTCACTTAGATGTGGTTACCTTTTCAAATGCTATTTTAATAGAAAAACCTCATTTATCCAAACATCTAGAGTATAGAGTACAATTTTTTTGGTAAAAAGTACTAATTTTTTTTTTATTCTTCATTTTAGGTGGAAAGTTCAAGTAACAAATAAAGGATACTACAACTTAAGAAAACCCAAGGTATGTTTTTAATGCTTCAGTCACAAGTAGTTGCAGCAAACACGCCACATGGAGTGCCACCATCACACATGATGTGATGATGCAGAGACATGGTGCTTATCTCGAGGGAGCAGCTGTGGAACAAAAGAGAGCCTGTGTGCTCCCTTCACAAGCTGGGCTGTAGATGTGCTGTGGGAGAGAATAGGGTGCAGGCACACTTAGTTCTGCCCGGCAGTTAAGGCCAGGAAGATTGCAGAGGAAATGACATGGGAGTTGGTCTTTATGAGGTAAATACAATCTGCATCAACAGAGAAAGGAACAAAGGACTTTCTAGGCAGAGGAAGAAATAGAGGCGAGAGTAAAAAACACAGATAGCAAGTAGCAAATAATACAAAGATAACAGATCTGTATTTTTAAAAGACACTCTGGAGTTCCTGTGAAAATAGCATAGAAGCCTGGGTAGAAACAAGGAGAATCAGAATGAGGACATGTCAAAGACAAATTTTAGAGGTAGAATTGGTCAATACATGGCAACTAATTAGTATAAAGGAAAGAGAGAAAATACATATTACTATTAGATTTTTAGTTTTTATGTCTGGGTGTATGGAAATGGCATTAACCATGATAAGAAAAATAGGAAGTTTCAGGTTTGAATAGGAAGGAAATGAGTTAGATTTGGGGCATATCAACACAAAAAGCTGTGGAGCCTTGAGCAACCAGTTGGAAGTTTAGAGTTATTGCTCAGGAACAAAGGCAGAGATAGAGATGTAGACTGAGGAATCCAGACTGGGTTGGGCTGGCCACTGAAGGGGAGACGAAAGGGTGTGTGGTGGGTGAATAAGGAGAAAACAGTTTCAGAGAAAAAGTGTTACAGAAGATGGACAATAAACAGCAAAAACAATGCAGACTTGAAGAAAGCATTTGGGGAACACTGATGCAAGTATTTCTTCAACTTCTCCATCTCTTTGCCACCAAAATTCCTCTAAGATGGTGATGAAGATCTTGTAAAGATCTTTGAGAAGGCACAAAACCCTAAGGACAGAGAGTCTGGGAAATGAAATGCAGCAGTCTTCAAGGGGCCGAAAATAGAAAGGCTAGCATATTGAAGAAAGCTGAAATGCTAAGTTCCTGTGACGCAGAAAACCAAGAAAGAAAACAGTTTATTGGAAAGAACCAAGCAAAGCCTTAGGAATGAGAGCTGCCAGGTCACTTGGAGAACAAGTATAGAGTAGAACTGAAAAGAGAAGGAACTAGCCAAAGAAACTGTCTGTCCCGTAGATCACCTCCCGCTTCCCCAGCTTCATGTAGTCATATACCACCCTTCTTGACTTAGGGCAGCAGGCTACAGGTTGATTCTGGAGAGTTTAAACTAGAGAGACTCTAGCTAGCAAAAAACACACTGAAAACAGGCTTGGTCAAGATGAGATCACTGGCCCTCTTCATCCGCTCAGCTTCAAGATTACTGGGAGAGGGGGTTTCTCCTTGGGAAAGCTCATCTGCCAAGAAAAAGATTCATAGATCCTGACATTTGAGTGTCCTCCAGCAAAAGGTCCAGGTTCCTGTGCTCTAGCCTTATAATGACGCTCATCCCCGGCAAGCCCTGCCTTTGAATGAGAAGCTCACAATTTGTCTTTTATGCCTTATTCTTGTTTGGAGGTTCTAGCAGGGGAGCGCAGCTACTTGTATACCCTTGACCGAAGAATGGTCCTCCTCTAGCGGGGATGGTCGTCCTCTTCAACCGAGCGCGCAGCTCCGGGAGGGACGCACATGGAGCGGTGAGGGAGGAAGTATGCCTTATTCTTAAGCATGAACAGATATAGCTAAGGATTGGAGTCAAGAACAAACATTTAAGAAAAGCCTCTACCATGAGAGAGCTCAAAATAAACAAACAGAAAAAAAGAAATGTAGTAAGCACAGATAGTCCAGCAAGCCAAGAAGTCAGAGAGTGGGACTAACATTCTCAGAGAGAGATGAAAATACAACAGGGTTCTATAAAAGAAACATACATTCCAAACCACACATCTCCAAAAAAGGCTCTTATAAGTTAAAATTTAGTACCAGCTTGGAAGGTACAGTTGAAGACACTGCTCCAAAAATACAACCAAAGGCAAAGGAGCCAGGCCTAGCTTGTAGGTCCTCAGGAGGCTGAGGTAGGAGAATCACTTGAGGCCAGGAGTTCAAGTTCAGCCTGGGCAACATGACAAGACCCCCATCTCTAATAAATAAATAGCCAAGAAATGGAAAGTGGGAGATAAATAAATTCAGAGCATCCATCCAGGGAAATCTAATTACTAAAAAATGGAAGGTTCAGAATGAAAAGAGTAAGTGGAGGATAGAGAACTATGACATAAATAATGAGAATTCCCCAGTGTTTCCAGGTTGAAAGGGCCCAGCACAGTGAATTTTGAAAGTTCTGCACACAGCGTTATGAAATTTCAGAATTCTGAGGATAAAGATGGAATTGTTCAACTTTCCAGAAAGGGGGAAAAGTATAAAGCACCAGGAATCCATAAAGGCAGCACAGGAAGTCAGATGACAATGGAGCATCGCCTGCCAGTGTCAGGGAAAGCACATCCGGAGAGTCAGTAGGGGAAGTAGGAGGTCCCTATGAAGAGAACAATAAATAATATGTAAAGTTGAAAAGTCAAGAAATAACAATCTGATTATATTGTTTAGAAATATAGAAATAGTCGGATGTGGTGGCACGTGTCTGTAGTCCCAGCTACTTGGGAGGCTAAGGCAGGAGGATCACTGGAGTCCAGAAGTTTGAGGCTGCCATGATCGTGCCTGTGAACAGCCACCGCACTCCAGCCTGAGCAACATAGCAAGACCCCATCTCTAAAAAGAAAGGAAGGAGGGAAGGGAAAAGAGGAAGGAAGAATATAGAGGTAGGTGCCCAAAGAAATAACTTAAAAGAGCTCTGGGAGCAGGAGTGATAAGTAGGGAGGGGTGGACAGAAGACCACCATGTTTCCTTCAACCCTGTTTTCTTTGAAGCCTTGTAGAACCGTATAGTTTTACTAAAGTGAGTGGCTTTAATAAAAATAGAAATTGAATTGAAAACAATAGACAAATTAGAGAAAGTATTGAGAGATCTTCTAAAATGGCTTCTATACTCAAAAGTATTTGTCAGTTATCAAAATGACCAAGGTGCCAACATTAGAGATATATTTATCTTTTTTATAATAGCCAGTCTGACCTCTGTGAGACAGTAGTTTATTGTAATTTTAATTTTCATTTCTCTGATGATTAGAGATAGTGTGCATTTTTTCATATACAGGTTGAGTATCCCTTATCTAAAATGCTTGGAACCAGAAGTGTTTTGAATTTCTGAATTTTTTGGATTTGGGGATATTTGCAAAATACTACCTGTTGAGTATCCCTAATTCAAAAATCTTGAAATCTGAAATACTCCAATGAGCATTTCTTTTGAGAGTCATGTCACTGCTTAAAAATTTTTGGGTTTTGGCTTTCAGAGTTTCAGCTTGAGGATGCTCAACCTATATTTATAGTCCATTTGTATGTTGTCTTTTCTTGTTGTTGTTTGTTTTTGTTCGTTTGTTTTTGTTTTAATGAAATTTCATTCCTGGGCTCCAGGACCTTAACACCTGATCGGAAGCATTCTGCTTCAGCCTCCTGAGTAGCTGAGACTGCAGGCACATGCCACCACACCTGGCTCTTTATGTCTTCTTTTGACAAATGTCTCTTCAAATCCTTTTCCCCTTTTTTTTATACCACTACTGCTCAGGAATAAAAAGGAGCTATTTATTAAAAATATTTATCAGAGATCATTCCTCCAAAGAAAAACTTGGACAAAATGTCATACCAGTTAGATTACTTAAATAAGACATGTTCTCCATCCATTTGCTATCAAGAAAAAAGATATGCCATTAAAAATAAATGTGTTACAAGTAGATAGGGTATACTTATCTCTACAGAAGAACTTCCAAACAATCAAATACAAGAGGGAACCCTGTTCATCTCTACATTCAAACTGACATGTCATGCCCTCCTGGTGCTGAGCACTGTCCCAGGTGCTGGAGTTCAGTGATGAAGGTCTTGGCTTCATGGAGCATATGTTGTCCTGCCGTTAGTTCCTAAATAAAGGACCCCTAGGGAATTGTTTAAAAAATGTTTAAGTTAAAAAAACGTAATGCCAAATTAATGTATATTTATATATTTTAGTTAAAATACAATGTTTAGGGTTTTTTTTAAGAATTGAGATTGAATATTATATTTTGGCAGTAAAGAGACAAACATTTAGTGAATTGTGGTTCTATAAGCAATGAATGGGAAAGGAATGAAGAGAACAAGTGACTGAATTTAGACGTAGCCATCAAAAGAATTAAGAGCATCTTTAACTTGGAGGGGAAAAAAGGTACATTTGAAGAAAGCCAGAGTTTTTAGATGGCAGGGAGAGGGAACTTGAGAATTCATACTTGATCTCACTTGGTTCAGTGAGGCAAAAATCAGGATCATCTGAGCATAACAAAGGCAAGGGGCTTGTGATCAGGGACTTGAGGAGAATTGTCTATTTTGAGATAAACCTCTGTGGATTATAGAAGAGAAAATCATCCTAAGGATTGAGCAGTTGTGTCCAGCCAAGATTGAAAATAATAACTTTGTAGCAGAATCTTAGATTCTTACCAGCAACCTGGAGACAGAACTGAGGAAACAGTTTGATTTAGAGAGGACTAACAAAGAAGACTGATATGGAAAAAGGTCAAGGGGGAGTTGGAACTAAGGACGCTTTTAAGTGCAGTCGTTGAGATGACTGACCCTCAGAATGCAGGTTGGGTTGAGAAGTAAAGTAAATTAAGGAGGGGCTGTAGCTCAGGTAGGGGCTGATAGACGCTGATAGAAGCCTGGGGGTTGTGATGAAGGTGAAGGGCACATGTAACGGGAACACAGGTATGAAGAGCCCGGATGCGTAAAGTAGAGCCATTCCAGATGGTCAGGTGTGAGATGCAACATGTAAAATCAATGGAAAGGGAGGTACATGTGTGTAGTTACCAGCCCAGTGACTTCACTGGACAGCATAAAATAGCTCTATGGGAAATATAAATGCACAAAGTATTCCATTTTCAGAAAGAGCATAAAGACTAAGATTGGCATTTATTATGACACAGGCTCAGATGGCAGCATAGTCTTCTGCTTATTCTTACCCTTTCTCGCAGGAATTCACGATGAACAACTATTTTTCTGTTGGACCTGATGCTCTCATGGCTCTCAATTTTCATGCTCATCGTGAGAAGGCACCCTCTCTGTTTTCTAGCAGAATTCTTAATAAGGTGTGTTGGATAAAATAACATTTCCTGCTTATCACGAAGGTACAGTAAAAATCAATAGTTCAATTATATTTAGCAGTCCTAGATTCAGATTGAACTAACTTGTGGAATATTCACCTGCCCTCTTTGTGTAAGACTGTCAAATTAGATCCTTAAATGTATTTTATTAAAGTGTTTTATAACTAACAATTTTTTTAAATTTGAAGTTGGGATGCTTTACAGCACATTTTGCTTTGATGATGACTGAATAGAATATATGATAGCTTATCTTAAGTGGAAACTGGAAACATTAGAGAGAAATTTTAGGCAGAATAAATTTGTGGTGAAGTCATTAATGAAAAAAATAGATTTCACTGGCTTGGAAAAACTCCAAAAGGCAGATGAGATCAGGAAAGGAGCAGCTTGTTTACCACGGCTTTTAGCTAAGGTCATCTCTGGTTTCTAATGCAATTGATTCCTTTGGTGAATTTTGTTTTGGATTTTTTTGTAGTGACATTTGGTGATTGAGCAACAGGATGTAAAAGAAAATGCAAAGCAGTTGTAGTCCTGGTTCTGTTTTATAAATATTTAAAATTTAAAAATAGTTTTCTATTCATATATGCACTAAAGCAATAAGTATAATTATGTATACGACACTTCTGTCAACCTTCCTGTATTAAAAAGTGATCAGAAAATGTTTGCTAGATTTAGCTACATTACTATCCTTAAGTAATCTGAAGTACTAGGAAAGGGTGGAGTTTTCGAATTTGAATATAGTATTTCTTTATAAAATGCAGTTTTCTGGATAAATTGGAAGAAAACATTGTTTAGACACAGACCACTCATGCCCTATGTTTCCCTCAAGAAAAGAGCTAATTAAACTCAAAAGTAATGGCCTTTATTGTCACTGTCTTAAAAAGAGGGAAGACTAGCATTTCCTCTATTATACCACAATTTACCTAGAGACTATTAATAGCATAAGAGGATAAAATATAAGCTCAATACGTATGTATGCCAAAAGTGTCTGTGAAGCGGTAGAGGCATTTTTGCATTGTTTCCTGATGATATATTCCCATTGCTGCCCCTTCTAGTTTTAACCTTTAAAATTAGTAGGGTGGAGGTGGGTAGGGCCAGAGGCTGCGCGACAAAGCATCCCTTTTGGTTTCCCTTCTTTCCATCAGCATGTAGTCTGAGGGAACATGATTCAGCATGCATATCAGCAAGCTTTGGCACAGTGTATTTTTTCTAAATGTTTACAGAGTTTGTTAGATTGTTTTGATATCATATTTTCTGTCTATTTTTCATAGGCTGTTTACTTATTCTATGGAACCAAAGATTGTTTAGTGCAAGAATGTAAAGATTTGAATAAAAAAGTTGAGGTAAGCTACTAACACCTTTTTTTAAGTTTTAGGTCGTCATTGGAATATAAAGTTTTTTTAAACAGAAATGCTAAAGTTTTTGTTAAGTTATTTTGCTAACATATATGGAGTATTAACTTGTGTACCAGGCACTTTGCCAAGTGCTTCACATACGTTATCCCTCCAAATTCTCACCACAATCCTATAAGGCAGTTACTCTGTTCCCATTATGCAGAAGAGACAATTATTGAAATGAAATAATTTGCTCAAATTAAAGAGTTAGTGCCCAGATACACACATAGTCAGGATTTGAATCCAGGCTTGTCTAAATCCAGAGTCTGTTTAACTATTATGCTGAACAGCCTTCATTCATATGTGATAACAATTATAAAGTTATCTAATACAGTGCCTAACTCATTATGAATGCTCAGATGTTTAAATATTCTGATTACTTTCGTGAGGTATCTCTCACATAGTAAAATAAACATGTATAAATTGTTAAAATAGAATATTAATGGTTGTTTATTGCTGCATGATATGGCAAAGTCTGTGTATACTCCTTGCTTGCTTCCAGAAAGAGTCTGTAATGACTAATAGCAACAACAAAGACGTTAATACAGAGAAACCTAGAACTAGGAAAATAAGTAAAAGGGGAAGAGGTCATAAAACTTGAGAAAAGAGTGAAACAAGGAGCAGAGAGTGAGGAGCCAGCTCATACGTTAGCCAAGGACATGTAGCTCAAGCCTCTAGGCAGCCGTGGCATGGAAGAAAGAGCAAGCTTTTCTTTAAAAAATAGTTTTATGTTACTTTATCAAATTTTCTTTTTCCTGGTCTTTGATAGTATTGATAGAGTTGAAACATATAAGATCGTACTTTATTTTATTGTCTGATATTTAATTTATACAGCAATTATTTGTGAAACCACCCACAAAGTGCCAGGCACTGATACTGTCCCAGGTATGGGAAATACAGAGGTAAATTCCTTGCTATAAGTTTACAGTCTAGGGAAGAGAGATATTTAAGCCACATTGCCAAAAAGTATGAGTAATGGTGTGATAGGAAAAGTATGCAGTCTTAAAGGATTAGTAAAAGTATTATATAATTCAGGGGCTGGAGAGACTGTCTAGGGAAAGTGGCAGTAACAAGGAAGTCTTTTTAGAAGAAAGAGAGAGGCTGGAATCTGAAAATTAAGTAAGAGCTAAGAGAAGAAAGGAGGGAAGGTTGTTTTAGGCTAAGAACAGCATGTGCAAAAGGCCCAGAGGGACAAGGAAACGTGGCATGTTTGAATGATTTCCTGCTTGGAGCATAGCTTGCAGGAAGGATAGTGATAAACCGAAGCTGGAGAGATGGGCAGAGGCCAAATCTCATGGGTCATATTGCCTGGTAAGGAGCTTGGATTTCATCATGAGCACAGAGTTGTCATTGAAGGGTTGTAGTTGGGAATGATATTTGCATTTTAAGTGTCAATCTAACTGCTCTGTGAGGAATAAATAAGAGGTAAGTAAAGCTAGAGGCAAACAGACCAGTTAAGAACATTTTAGGAAAGAAGTGGTGTTCTACACTAAGTATTATCAGTAATGGTGGAGAGAGAGAGTTAGAAGTAGTGTCTCTGTTTTCAGTGAATGATTGGTTATGGAGGGTAAAAGCAAAGAAGTCAGAGATAACTCCCAGGTTTCTAGCTTAGGCAACTGTGATGGATGTGCTGCTTTTTTCTGGCAGATAGACTGGGGAGTGGGGAGCAGCTGGAGGAAAAGCTGCTTAACTGAGTTTTGTACAGAGGAGTTTTCAGTGCCACAGTCAGTGGAAGTGTTTTGTAGGCAGCTGGATAGATGGATCTGGCCCAGCTCACCTTCCTGGGCCAACTAGATAGAACTGGCAGCACAGAGATGGCAATTAGAGGCATGGAGTTGGCTAAGATTGCCCTCCAGAGCTGTAGCATGAAAAGAGTATGGGGCTTATTAGTATATAGCTATGAGAATGCCATTAACGTAAGGCAGGAAGTGGAACTGTAGAGAACATCCAAGGAAGCTGAGCCTGTGGTTCCCAGGAAGCAAAGAAGGAGGAGGTTTCAGGAAGAGAGAAGGGTCAGCAAATGTCAGGTGCTGCTGACACAGCAAGTGAGATAAGACCTGAAAAAGTTGCTGGACTTAACAAAAGGGATGTCATTGATTACCTTGTAACAACAGTTCCACTGAAGAGATGGGAAAGGCCAGATTACCCTGAGTGAGAGGTAGGAAACCGTCTTCTACACGTGTCTCTTATATATTATACAAGCATGTTTAGGAAAATGAGTGTGAATTCTTAAGTGAATATGTGTGGAAATAGTGTGTCCTGTAGTAACTAACTATTTGTATTTCTTTAAAGCTAGAGCTGGATGGTGAGCGAGTGGCACTGCCCAATTTGGAAGGTATCATAGTTCTGAACATTGGATACTGGGGCGGTGGCTGCAGACTTTGGGAAGGGATGGGGGACGAGACTTACCCTCTAGCCAGGTATGTACACTGGGAGTCTGTTTTTTGTCACTTTTTTTGTTTAAAGCAGTCTGTTGTTGTTTATAGACTAATATTTTTCTCTCAAATTTTCTTTTATGTATACCTCATTAGTATAAATAGTTAGAAAGTTGATGGTACACCTATGTTAAAAAGTATTTGGGCCAGGCATGGTGGCTCATGCCTGGAATCCGAGAGCTTTGGGAGTCCAAGCAGGGGCATTGCTTGAGGCTAGCAGTTTGAGATGAGCATGGGCACCAAAGTGAGACCCTAGCTCTACAAAAAAAGCAACAGCAACAACAAAACTAAAAAATTAGCTGGATATGGCAGCATGTACCTATAGTCCCAGGTACTCAGCAGGCCAAAGCGAGAGGATCACTTAACCCCAGGAGTTCTGAGGCTGCAGTGAGGTGTGATCACACCACTGCACTCTAACCTGGGTGACAGAGCAAGACCCTGTCTCTAAAAATAAATAAATAAGTTTTTAAAAACTAAAAATTAAATAAATAAAAAGTAATTGCCCTAACATGACTGGTTTTGTTTTATTGTATCATATAATCCATATTCCCTTTTTTAAATTTTAGGCACGATGATGGTTTACTGGAAGTCGTTGGAGTATATGGGTCTTTCCACTGTGCTCAAATTCAAGTGAAACTGGCAAATCCTTTTCGAATAGGACAGGCACATACAGTGCGGGTAAATGAAACAGGCTAATTTTTTCCAGTCCATTTTTAAACCATTGATATGTAGAGGAAAGCATACACACTATAACTTTCTTTAAGCAGTGATTTACTGCCCATGCAGCTGATCATCCTACACCATGGGTTTGATTAGGATGAGGAAGAAACTAAAAAACATGGCTCGAAATCGAGTTAAAGAAATAAAACATACACTGTAAAAGAATCCCTTAAACTGACTGGGCGCTCAAACCTGTAATCCCAGCACCTTGGGAGGCCAAGGCAAGAGGATTGCCTGAGCCTCAGGGGTTTGAGACCAGCCTCGGCAAATTGGCAAGACCTCATCTCTACAATAAATCAAAAAAATAAGCCAGGCATGGTAGCATGCACCTGTAATTCTAGCTACTTGGAAGGCTGAGGTGGAAGGATTGCCTGAGTCCAACAGGTCGAGGCTGCAGTGGATGTGAGCATGCCACTGCGCTCTAGACAGGGTGACAGAGTGAGACTCTGACTCAAAAAAAAAAAAATCCCTTAAACAATTGATGAATAAAAACATTCAGATTAATTTCCTGGAAATGAAATGCAGAAGGGATAAGGGATTGTGGATGATATTATTAAGGAAGACCTTCCTGAACTCTTTTGGGACTGACTTTTTTCTAATTATTTATTCCCTGATGTCAGCTTATTTTGAAGTGCTCGATGATGCCAATGCAGGTGGATGGGGAGCCATGGGCCCAAGGGCCCTGCACAGTCACCATAACTCACAAGACACATGCATTGATGTTATATTTCTCTGGAGAGCAAACAGATGATGACATCTCTAGTACTTCGGATCAAGAGGACATAAAGGAGATTGAGTAGATGAATGAGGAAGTGAAGACATAACATAGACTCCTCACAAGCAAAGTAGACACATGTTCATCAAAAAGTAGAAATTCTCTATCAGCTATTCAGTCGTAATAATACTACTTGTGAGTAGTATAAGGAGTATGCATTTATGTAAATAGCATCCCCAGAACAGTGAACTTCCTGTTGTTTACAATTGCCTGTTCTTTTTTCAGCAGAACTACTTTGATCATACAGTATTAACTTTTTGAAAGTCACAAAAGTGAAATGTTTTTTGTGGCTATGTGTTTTGAGAGTGGGACTCACTCTGGAGTATGCAGTGGCTCATCCCTTATTCTTGAACCGCACATTTGATGGATACTTTGTACATCCAACAAGATATGGGTAGAAGGATCATTTCTGTGTTATTTTTTAATGTGATGATATCATATGTAGCATTTTAAAAATTAACTTGCTTATTTTGAAAGAAAATGATTAATGTCAAACAAGCATGGGTAATTCAGGGCATCCTCCCACAGCATGCCTCTAAGTTTTCCTACAGTCCAAGCCGACTGGTTTCGTATGTGCTGATTTCTAGGAATCCCCAAAAGGAGAAATGTAAAAGACAATAGTTAAAATTTGTTTTATGATTTCTATTTTAGGAACGTATTGAAACACCTAAGTGTTGTTTAACCATGTTAGTGACTGTGTTGAGCTGAAATGCAGGATTTTTTTATAACCCCAGTATAGCCAAAAAAGAACCAGGTAAGAGGACATAAAGGAAAATAAATGAAAGTAAATAATAAAATAAATAAATAAAATAAAATAAAATTCAGAGCACTTTGGATTGAAAGTTACATGTTCCGAGCTAGACAGTTCATCAACTCTTTTGATTAAAAGACTGTGTCAGCAATTTTTTTCTAATGTGCTTGAAGGAAACTTACCAGTTTAATAGCCCCAAAAAAGTTTAAGGCTGACTGATAGGTTTTGAAAAATCAGTGGTCTTTTAGTATTTTGAAATATTGTAGTCTTTTGTATCTTAAGTACTTCACAGAGTTTCTCCTTGGGGAGATAAATGGACAGAAACCTCTGCTAAAATGTTTATCATATTTATTTTAAAATGAGAGAGATATATATTTTTGACTTATTTATTATTTACCTGTGGTATGATACCTGTGTTTAGAGTTTACATTACATAGCTTTATTTAATAAGTTAAATTAATTACATAAATTTTGCTATTCACAATCAGATAGAAATTAAACCTATTGACTAATTTAATTCTTCTGACAGATATATCTTATCCAGATAGTCTTGTTCTTCAGAAATATTCCTCTGTGTTTTAAAAAAGGAGGAAGGCATAAAAAGCACTGGTAAGCCACTTTAGGATAACTAACAGCTTTGTTTCATTGTTTTATTTGACAAATAAATATTGACAAAAATATATTGAAGGGCCAATTTCCTGGTTACCCATTAGAGGGTGCTCTTCTGCTACTGTTGACCAGCCTACCCCTAACATCTGCAGTTGGCAAACCCAGGGGGCATCCAGCCTGGTGTTTTTCTGATAAATGGTCCATTTGTGGGCTTGGTGGTCTTTCATGTCATCAGTCTCTGAAAGCTTGGAATGTATTCCTCAAAACACCGTGAGTTCCCTTCAAGGGTCTGTTATTAATCTGTCATCTGCAAATTGCCATAAACTTAAATTTGCATTACTTCAGGACTAGACCTTATTTTCAGGGAGCAACATAGTAATATATACAATAATTAGTACTTTATATAAAATGCTTTTTTTTTTTTTGCTAAATTAACCTCTTCAGACCTCTACAAGTGATTCTAAAATTCTAGTCTTAAGAGATTTTGTGAGCAACTCTGTTTTCAGCTTACTTGCACACTTTTCACAGTAAGTGGCCATGGCAGTGGTGGTGACAGAGTTCTGTAGATTTTCTTTTATGAGCTAATCATGTTCTGAATATGATGAGGTTTATCCTTTAATTCATGATGAAAATTGTTACATCACATTTTATAAATTCACTTTGCTATCAGTTATATTTTACCTATAATTTGTAGTACTAATTGTAGAAGCAAAAGAAATAGTTAATTTGGGATATCAAAATTAAAATGCTCAAAATTACTGTATGCTTTTAATTGTTAAAACTATTCTAACCATAATGTTACATTGTGTTTAGAACAGATTTATGTACAATGCCCTCATTTTTAAAAAAAAATCATAATACTTTTTTTAAAAGTATCATAATCCAGTGAGGTTTTGTTCCTACTACCCTTCATGAGGTTTTTCTGTTGCCTTATTCACTCATTCAGACTTAATATTTATTTCAGCAAGGTATTTCAAAATATCATATCACAAAATATATCATTATCTTATTTTAGCAAAATTCATCTACTCTTTTAGGTACATTTACCCAGCATTTCAAATAGATATATAGGCTTGTGCCTTGTTTAAAGAAATACAATTTATAAGATTTCATGTTTGCAGGTTATATATTAGGGTAGTACCTGTCTATATGACCAGGGATTCTGTATTTTACAAAATAATTTACCATAAGATTTTCCTTTTCCACATAAAATTATTGTCTTGGTTGTAAAAAAATAACTTCTATTTTCTCAGGAAGAAATATATGAAGTAAGTCATATCCCCATATCTGTTTTCAGACTGTCTCATCTTTTACTATCCCAATGCATTCCTAACTCCTAGTAAACTTAGTGGCTTAAATACTGAATACCTGGCAGCTCTTATAGATCCCATAGGCTGATGATAATTTTCAGTGCTTTGTCATGTTTAACAGAAATCATACTCACTTGTGTTTTAAAATACAAGTCATATGATAGTAAGATTTCATAACTTAAATGTGTTTTAGGTTTTCTGCAACAATTAGCTGTGAATCCCTAATGTAGCTAATGTTTATAAAAATTTTATAGTCAAAATTGTTTATTTTTATTTTTTTAGGGTGTGTCAAAAACATGTGGAATTTGCTTTTTGAAATACATTTGCCTACTTAGTTGTAAAGTATACTGTGACTCAGAAACTATAAAGTCCTTTTTGTGCTGTAAAAATGAATACTGCCAGCATGTCAAAAGAAAAATAATTTGCATTTGTAATATAAAGAAAAATTGTATTTAATGTGTATTGTTGAGTTTTAAATTTGCACTAACTCAGAAAACTTAAAGTTTATGTTAATTTAAAGATTAACATGGACCCAAATACATATTTGTTTGACCAAAAATGTCAATAGAATGGATGATAGTTTTTGTGTGATTTTCCTTCAAAATGATTATATTGAAACAAGAACCAGCATTTTATATTCAGAAATGTTTTTTGATTCCTATCCAGTTTAGGACAGTGGAATGTTAGTAGATTTATTAAAAATACGTAGAAATTTAAAAAGAAAAAAATACTGTTGTTACTCTCTCCCAGTCTGAACTAATTCTCAGCAACAAGACAGAAAAGATGACGCTGCTTTTTGCTTTTAAAAAGTATTCCCCTGCCTTTCTCAAATTTTCCCTTTAAGGCCTCTCTCCTGTTTCTCAGAGTATACTCTGCAGTCTATCAGCAGCATCAGAATTATCTGGACAGGTTGTTGAAAGTATGGATTCCTGAACCTAACCCTTGACTTAATGAATCAACATCTCTGGAGATGGAACATAGAAATCTGTATTTTTACTCACAGGCATCTCAGGTGATTCTGATGCACCCAGGGCTCTTGCCAGGTGGATACCATGCAGAAAAATGGAATTAATTGGATGTTCTTAAAATTGTTTTTCTGGCCAGGCACAGTGGCTCACACCTGTTATTCCAGTACTTTGGGAGGCTGAGGTGGAAGGATTGCTTGAGCCCAGGAGTTGGAGACAGCCCAGGGCAACATAGCAAGACCTCCTCTCTACCAGAAAAAAAAAAAAAAAAAAAAAAAAAAACATTAAAAAATTAGCCGTGTGATGGCATATGCCGGTAGTCCCACTACTTGGGAGACTGAGACAAAAGATTGCCTGATCCCTGGAGATCAAGGCTGTAGTGAGCTGTGGTCATGCGACAGCACTCCAGCCTGGACAACAGAGTAAGATTCCGACCAGAAAAAATATAAATAAATAAATTGCTTTTCTTTTCACTCCACTAACTGTCCTCTTCCCCGAAAATCATTTTTCTGAAGGAGCTATGTAACTTGTTTGTGTCCTATCCAAATTGATGTATTTCATCTGTACTCTGTTTCATGAGAACTGGTGTGATTCGTATGTGGAGTCATGGTTTTTGAACTGTGATCCATGGAGTCTTGGGGGACAAGGAATTGATTCAGAAGCTCATGCAGTTCACCCCCACGAGGAAGCAAGCTATGGGGCTCCTGCCTTCTCACTTCAGTCAGCACAGCCCCACTTGCTGTACGGGTGCTGCTTATGATCTCACTAGATAAGATACTTCCACTATTTTTAAATGATTCTGCTATTTTTAAAAAAGGGTTTGGAAGATACTACTATAATGACTCTCACCTGGTTTATTTTCTGCTGATTTTTACATATTCAGAAACCTCATGTTTTTGGGTGGGAGGAATATTTTTGGGTGGGAGGTCTTAATTGCTGCTTGAAATGTGGCCACTTTGCTGTTCCAGTTTTTAAAGGCATGTCATCGACTAGTAAAGCACTGAACTTAGCCTCTGTTTCTTGTGTTTCTAATTTTAGGATAGAAATAATCTATGTATTTAATTTTAGATATGTAAGTATACATATACACTCACATGTATATATGTTTACCCTATGACCCTGACCATGTAGTCAGTGCATGAGGCTTACAGGTCCCAAAAAGGTACATTCCAAGGTTCTGGGGGAAGACATTTTAAAATGTCACCCTCTAATACATTTACAAAACAAATTATTGAACTTAGCCATCTGCAAGAGTGTCTGCAGAAAATAAGCCACCTTGAAACTGTATGTTGCTGATATAAGACCAAGGACACTTCCTTGGTCTCTGTAAAGAATGCCCTGGGCAACCTCACCATGAAAGGAAGGCATGAATGCAGAATGCACTAAACAGGAGATAAACTGTAATCTAGGAAATTTCCAACATGTGATACTTTTTGGTGACTAACATGGAATATTGAAAAGGAGAGCGAGAAAGTTAGGTGATTTTCCTTGTTCCTCTAACATTGACCAGGCAAAAGGGCATTCTGATCAGATGAGTAGATGAGACTCAGAAAAGTTCTATAGAGTATGGCAGGGCACTTGGTGTACTGGGTGATGATGGCTTCCAAGAACATCTATCCTCATTACTCCATTTGTGGGTTTGGCCAGCAGTCTTTCAAATTTGTTCTGCTTGAATGAACCCCACAGATAAATTGGCACTCAGTTGTCATTCTGATTATACAAGTTTAGAGCAGCCTAGCTGAAGTCCTCAACCCCAGTCACACATACAAGTGAACTGGCAGCGTTGGATCCCTGAGCCCACAGTGTTGAGGACATGTGAGATGACTCCACTGGAGCAGCCAGCCAACGCTTGTTCTCTTCCCACTTCTGACCACATTATGTTCCTACTATTCAGTTACCCTGTGTTAATTGCTTTTGTTGTATTGGGTGTATATTGTTGTGGTTAATGCCTACAGACAGAAATGTGAATTAAAGCATTTGATATGTTGAAGACATTTGCTTGTTTTTTAATAAAATTTAAAATGCAGCTCTAAAAAGTATGATACAGCTTTGTTTTTTGATACGAGATTAAATAAGCAGCCTTGAGTTAGTTCCCCAGAAAACAGTCATTGGTCTACAGCAGGGAAAACAAACTATGGCAAACTCTGAGGTAGATATTTTTGAA